CCCCAGGGGCCGCCCATGTGGGGCACATTCAGGCAAAATGAGCGAATATTCACAAGAGCCCCTGCTTACTGGGAAACGGGGGACCACAACAATGGCGCCTGGGGGCCCCAGGGAGGACTCTGGGGCGGCTCAGTGCCTCTGGAGGGACTCGGTGCCTCTGGGGGGGACTTAGTACCTGGTGGGGCTCCGTGCCCGGGGGAGGAGTGGCTGGTTATTCTTTTGACTGCAGAAGTTGCCCGCGCCCAGCGGGCCCCGTGGTACTGCAGCAGCAGGGTGCGAGAAGTCGGCGGCTTCTGGGGGGGGGGGGTCCCTTGGTGTGCTTAAGCCCCTGAGCCTTGAGGGCCTCGCCCCTTCCCCCTCGGTCCCCTCCTCCCTCCCCCTCTCCCCCTTCCCCCGCCTCCAGGGCTCCCCGACCCTGCAGCCACCATCTCTGCCCTCCAGCCCCTGGGGTGGTGCCGGCGCGCGGTGAGACTCTCCGCTACAGAGTCCGGCGGGGCCCCAGCCCGTGCGTCCTGCTCCTGGCGGCTCCTTCGCAGTCTCGGTTCCGGACCTGCGGGACAGAGAAGGGAACCCCGAGCCAGTGCCCCTTGTCCCGGGAGCTGCGGCTTCGTGGGAGCAGATGTTGGGGGTTGGGGGGACCAGCCCTCAGGACAGGAGGCCCCGGGCCGGGGCAGGGCTGCGAGGGGAGCAGGCCCAGGACGGGGCAGGGAAGCAGCGGCCACAAAGGGGGAGGGTCAGATCGCGCAGGGGTTCGGGCGCTGCGGGCGTGTGCTGGGGGACCCCGCGTCCTCGGGCTGCACCCGTCTCCTCCCGGGCGTGTGGGCGGGCAGGGGTGGTGGGTGGAGGGTGGCGGACGGGCAGGGAGGGGAAGGGGCCGGCGCGGGGATCGCCCCGCCTCAGCATCGCGAGGGAACAGATGCGCACTCCGCGCAGCCGCGCCCTCCCCGTCGGGCCCCGCTCCGGGTCTTTGGGCGGCCTCCGCCGGGCGCGGCGAGTTCGGGCCGCTTCCTCTCGGCCCGGAGACTCCCGTCCCGCAGCGGCGCGGGGGGGCGGCGCGTGCCCGCGGGGGCGGGGCCTGGGGCCTGGGGCGGGGCCGGCGCGCGGACCAGAGAGGCGGAGGCACCGCCCCCAGGTCGCACAGCGGCCCTGGGCGCCCTCAGCCCGACAGGCGCGGCCCGCGCGCGCCCCAGCTGCGCCGTCCAGCCCTCGCCGGCCCCCCACCGCTGGGACGAACGATTCTCCCGCAAACGTCTGGGGCTCCCCAGTTGGAAAACGGGTGACGATCACAGACCCGCGCCGCGCCCCCGACTCCCCGTGGCCCTGCACGCTGGTCTCGCCACCAGCGGGACCCCAAGGGAGGCAGAATGGGGGCGCGCCGGGGCCCCCGTAGGAAGGAGGCGCCCAGGGGTGCCTGGGGACCGGCTCAGTGCGCAGCGACCTCTCGCCCCGCCGCCCCCGCCTTCCCGTGCCCGCCGCGGGGTCTGTCCTGGGACGGGGCGGCGCCCTCAGGAGCTGGACCCGCGGGGAGCGCGGCGTCTGTGCCTCGAGAAACGTCTCCCCGGGAGCCCCATGGTGGTCCGCGGCCCTCCACTGACGGGATGAGGCCACCGGCGGGCCGGGGTCGCCGCTCGGAGACGGACTGGCAGACGCGAGCGCAGCCGCCGCCGCCCACCCAGACCGAGCCCACTAGCGGGGCCGGAGCCCGAGCAGGCACGCGGGACCGCCCGGGCTGGGGGGGGGGGCGGGCAGGAGAGGGGCTGGCAGGGCAGAGGAGGGCCGCGGGCGGGACCCCCCAGGCTCAGGAGGGCGGACAGGACAGCAGCGGGCGAGGACAGGGCGGCCACCTGGCTGCGGGGGGTGGGGGGGAGGGGAAGCTCCGCCAAACTCTCCTTCGGACTTCAACGGCCGAGCCGCTGACCCACAGGCCCCCCGGGCCGCTCTCCTGCCCACGGGGTGGGTCCCCAGGGCGCCCGCAGCCGGGGCAGGCCTCGTTACTGCGGCTCCACGGCCCTCCCGGCGCGGCTCTCCCGCGGGCTCCGGGGCGCAGAGGCTGAAGCGGAGGCGGAGACGCGGGCAGGGCCGGCCCGGAGGGACACCGGGGCCACAGGTGCAGGTGACCCCTTGGGCTCACTTCCTGCTCTCGGGGGGCGGGCCTTGTGTGAGCGCCTGAACCCCGCCTCTGTGGGGCCCCCACACGGAAGGAACCCGCGCCGGGGGTGCGTGCGGCTGGGAGCAGGAGACGCGAGAGAGGCTGCAGGGAGGGGGGGGGGACCCCAGCCACCACGTTCCCCCCCAGTCACCCCCCGCGTCGCCCGCCAGCCACCCCCCGCGTCCCCACCTCTCCCCATCCCCCCTCACCGGCGGCCTGTTTCCGTCCTGGATGTCCCTCCACCGTAGGAAGCAAGACTCGTCCGCGTCCTGGATGCAGCCAGGCCGCGTCCTTGCACTGCCGCGCAACGGCCACTCGACGCAGTTGTGCACATCGTGTTCTCCTCACGCGAGGGGGAGGAGAGGACGTTTCCTTAACACTTCCTTCTGTGGCGGCGTGGCCGCATCGCGAGAATTCTCCACTTTCCACGCTCCGCGCTGACGTACGCCCCTTCCACGCCATTCAACCCCATTCCGTGTTCCCGCATCCGGCGTTGACATTCGACTTTGTATATATTGGCGGTTTCGATTGAGACCGTTTCAGATCCCTCTGCTGCAAATAAAGTGTTAGTGAACATTTGTACACATAAAGTGTTTTTTCTGAATTTGGAAACATTTCCTCAGGCCATTTCCAAAAATAAGACCGTGTCCATTGAAAATGTAAGTGTTTTGAATTCAAAGTCCCCTGCAGAGGCTGGTGACCTGATTTCTCAGGAACCGGGAGGACAGACCTCGTCTCCGGCCGTCACTTCTCCCGTCCCGCGTTCCCGGTGGAGCCCGCCGCCCTCCCCCCGCGGGCGGCGCGGGCCTCAAGTGTCTCGGCTCCCGCCACCGTCCGGCGCGGCCAGCGGTGCTCTCAGTCCTCCGGCCGGCCCGTGAGCAGCCCTTTGCCGTCTGGCCCTTTAAGCGCGCCCTCGGCAGCACGTCATCACTCTGCGCCTCCCGGCATGCACCAGGCGGAACGTGAGTGGCCGCGCCAAGTCGGCTCCCGCGGGCAAATTAATAGAGCGAGTGGAGCGATGGTCGCCGCCTTGTGGACTGGGGTGGTATCGTGGGAAAATCGTGGGAAAAATCACTACCTGAAAGGCCAGCTGGACTGGAAGTGGCCGCGCCAAGAGCGGCTCCCAGGGGCAACCTAAACGAGCGTGATGAGGCAGTGTCGCCGCCTTGTGGACCGGGGTGGTATCGTGGGAAAATCGCGGCCCAACTCGCCATCGGGACCGGAAGTGTTCGCGCTAAGGGCGGCTCCTGGCGGGCGAAATAAAGAGGCGAGAGGCGCGAGTGTCGCCGCCTTGTGGGCCGGGGTGGTATCGTGGGAAAATCGAGAATCCCAGCGGTGTAGTGAAGGCGCGGGCGGGGCGGGTGTCGCCGCCTTGTGGCCCCGACGGGTAATGAGGGGGAAACGCACAGTGACGACGGCAGGGGGATGGGTAAGGTCAACGGCCAGGTGGGGTGAGAAAGGTGGCGAGCAAGGCGGGAAACGGGAGGAGGAACGAGGCAAAGGGGGCCGAGCGCGGAATAATGAGCGGGCGGGGCGGCGAATAAGGTGCAGAGACGTGTTTCAGGGCAATGGAAAGGGCGGTGCGGACCATGTGAACAATAACGGGGGCGGGCGCCGCCTGGTGGCCCTCAGTGGCGAGCCGGCACATCCCTGACCAGCGGCCCACGGGGAGGAGAGGCCCAGGGGGCCGAGCCCGGGGACCACGACGCGGGGTCTGTGGGGGCAGAGTCCAGTGGCGGCGCCAGGAACAGCCATGGCGGCCCCCTGGGCAGGGGCGGGCCCGCGCAGAGGCAGGAGCAGCAGAGCCTGGTGGGAATTTGTGTCCAGAGCCTTGAAGAAAACGGATAGACTCACGTGTGAGTGAGACTAGGCCATCTGTCCTCACCATTCCTGAGAAGTAAGTCCACAACCCCTCTGCAGGGAACTTTGACTTTAAAATACTTGAATTTTTAATGGAAATAGTAATTTTATTTTTGGAAATGACCTAAGGAAATGTTTTCAAATTCAGATAAAAATCTTTATGTGTAAAAATGTTCACCGACACTTTATTTACAGTAAAATGATTTGAAACTATCTAAATAAAAACCCCCAAAATATACAAAATTAAATATAAACACTGGATACATACAGTGACACTTAGTAGCTTTTAATGCTGTGGTGAGCACTTACATTGCAGTGTTAAATGATGAAGTAGAATATAAAATTTTAGCGATGGATGTAAGCATCCTCTCCTTAACCCTTATGTGAGAGTAGAAGACAGTGTAAACAACAACTGTACACCGAGTGGAATATTATACAGCAGTGCAAATAAAACCCTCAAGCTGCATCCAAAATGTGGACTAGTCTGGCCTTCATACTCTTGAGTGACATTCAAGACAGAAACAGAACATGAGTTAATTTATTTAAATATTAAATACCAGACAAAATTAAAATCACGTTGTAATGATACATGCAGTGATACATGCCGGGACCTGTAGTGAAGAGCAAAGAAAAAAATTAGTGACAGCCATATAGGGGCTTCCTTATGGAGGAAGATCATGATATGATGTCACTTACATTCCTTGACTTATTTAGTGGAAGCTCATTTTATAATTCTCAAGCTACTACCCACCTTCTACACAGGCATTCTATTTCAAATTGCAAATATTGGGGGGAAAACTAGGAAGGAAACGTGCTAAGTCATCAGAGTACTTTTTGATACTGTTCATCCTATTTTATTCTACTCTTCACATTTTCTGTAATATACACAACTCCCTATCATTATCAGGACCAGTAACAGAAGCTGATGGAAACTCCATTGGTAAAGCTACCTCCTTGCTCCTTGGCAGGGGAAAAGTAGTTTTTAAAAAGTCTTAAGAATTCCATGTGGTTACAGAAAAACATTTTAAGACGACACATGGCCTCCCGCTAGCCACGCGGGTGAGGGCAGAGCAGCAGCGTTGGGAGTCAATGTCAAGGTCACCTCATTTTTTTTTTTCAGTGAGGAGGTTTGGATTTCTAGCCTGAACCTGTGCTCCGGCTAGCTTTTAAACCCAAATAAACAACTTTTGCCCCTTTCCTTCATTTTTAAATTTAGAAATTTATTCGGTTTAATCCACAGCTGTATATAGCTTCAATTAAAAATAAAGTGAAAACCAGGCATTACTTCAAAGTCTAGGCCCTTCCAGCTTCCAAATACAAGAGAGTTGTCTACACCTATAGGAGGAGCAGGACAAAATAATGAATGGGGCCATGCTATTTCATAAAACAAAATTTTATATAACTGAAAGCTCCTCCCTGTGACTAGTTCATTGCCTTTACAAAAAGGGGGAAAAAAGAATAGAACAGAGGGGCCTCCCTGCGGGTGCAAGGGGTTAAGACGCTGCACTATAAAGCTATCACCAGCCACTGCAGCACGAGTTCGATCCCTGTCCAGGAAGCTGACCCACATGGCACAGCAGACCTCTCCTGTCATGCCCACTGTTCCCCTCAGCAGTGTATTTCAGTCGATCTGCCTGTTCTGTTCCCCACTCTGTCTCTGGTGAATCCTCTCACAACCTCCCCCTTCTCTGGCTTATACCCCAGTTCTTGTACGCATAAATAACTTTTTTTTAAAAAGATTTATTTATTTTATGCACACAGGAACTGTGGCATAGGCCAGAGATGTGGGGGATGAGAGGATTCATCAGAGACAGAGTGGGGAACAGAACAGGCAGATCTACTGAAATACACTGCTGAGGGGAACAGCGGGCATGACAGGAGAGGTCTGCGGCCATGCGGGACCCTCTCCGGTCAGCCGGGATTGAACCAGCTCTGCAGAGGCTGCGGACAGCTTCACAGAGCAGCGCTGAACCGCCTGCGCCACCAGGGGAGGCCCTGTTTTAAATACAATTCACTTTTTAAAGATTTATTTTATTTTTATACAAGAACCGGGGTACAGACCAGATGCGCAGGAGCGTGAGAGGATTCACCAGAGACAGAGCGGGGAGCAGAACAGGCAGACTGACTGAAATACACTGCTGAGGGCGGCAGTGGGCAAGACAGGAGAGGGCTGCTCGCCATGTGGGATTCTCACCGGCCGAACGGATCGAACTGGGGTGCAGAGGCTGTGGACAGCTTCACAGTGCGACCCTTGACCGCCTGCGCCACCAGGGAGGCCCTAAATACAATTCTTCACACAACTCACTTTATTTGCATTTAGAGTTAGGACATTCTACCTTTTGATTTTTAGACCGTAAGAGGTTATGGAAGAATTTTGTCTTTATTTATCCCGCAGGCCCAGAGGTGATCTTTTTTCCAAAGTCCGAGCCCTGAGCCATTGGGCGACAGGGCACCCCATCGCCTCGGCAGGGGCACATTTGCACCTTAAAGCAAGCAGGGGGTAGAGAAGCAGGAGACTTCCAAGAGCTCACCTGGTCATCTGGGGCGCACAAGTCAGGCTCCTGGCCAGAGAAAGTCCATCAGACACTCCCTGAAGCTTGTAGTCCACCCCCAGGCCTTGTGCCAACATAATTCCAGCTAATGAGCAGGTCACAGTGGGCTGGGGCAGGCGGGCTAGGGCAGGAGGACAGGCGGGTCTGTTGCAGGCTCCGGGACTCCCAGCCTTTCACCGACAGTGTCCACCGCAGCCAGACCCTAAAATATCTGCAAGTCATTAAAACAGCAAACAAGGTTGCTTAAATTTCTGGGAAAGATTTTTTATTTTAAATCATGGTTAAAAATCCCCTTACCTGAAGCTGATATAAAAGCAAGGTTTGGGGCCTCCAGGATGGCGCAGGGGTTAAGCACAGCACTACGAAGCCATCCGCACGAGTTCCATCTGATGGAGGACAAGAATGGAAAGACGGGGAAGGAGGCCTCACAAGCCTAAAACCTGACTCACACAAGGAGGTGGGGGTCAAGGAGAATCACATGACCATTAACCCAGCTGTGGAGGTCATGACCCTTAAGCACCAGTGCCTTGTCACTAGGCAGGAGACCCAAGCAGGCTGAGATGCTCTAGGGAGTGGCGCACAGGCCTGCGGGGAAAGATATGGAGATTGGGCCCACCCTGGAATCTCTGGTCCTTCTGTAGTGTTGCCTGTTACCCAACATCAGCCACAAGCAGCCACTCCAGGGAGGAGCGACCCCTCCCAAAGAGGAAAGGACTGAATCGGGGCAGTCTCTGCACAGGCTCGGGGCAGTGCTCCCACTGCCCACCTGTGACTATGCAGGAGCCTCTTTTCACCAACTCTCTCTCCCTCTGCAGGGCAACAGCCTCCTGCCTGCCGTGACCTGTCAAGGCCGCCCGCCTGCAACCATGTGGGCCTCTCTCAGCAAAACCTGTCCCTTTCCTTTTCCCTAATAAACCTGCTCTTCAAATAGAACTAATGTCGCTGTCTCATGGAGAAACATGCCTGGGGAAGTCACCGTGTGCCGCTGAAACGGGAGCTCTGGGGACACCTTCCCCAGAGTGAGCCCCAGGACCCGCACGCACTCAACAACCTACAACATTTTGGCAACCACGAAGGGACTCTACACGTCATCTGGTGCCAACATCCCATCCCCAGCCAGAAAGGTGACCCCCAGGGCGCCGCAGACCTCTCCTGTCTCCCCGCTGCTCACCTCAGCAGTGGATTTCAGTCAGTCTACCTGTTCTGTCCCCCACTCTTTCTCTGGTGAATCCCCTTACCCCCACCCCCGCACCTCTGCCCTGCAGCCCAGCTCTTGTGTTCATAAGTAAATAAATCTGTAAAAAAATAAAATAAAATAAAATAAAGCATGACTAAAACATCATTTACCTGGAGATCCTGAAATGGATCCTATTGCAAACATTAAAAAGCAACTGTTATGGGGCCTGCCTGGTGGCGCAGGGGGTTAAGCACCACACTGTGAAGCAACCCACAGGCTGCTGCAGAGTTCGATGCCCAGCTGGCCAGGGAGCATCCCTCATGGCGCAGAAGACCTCTCCTGACTCGCCCGCTGCTCCCCTCAGCAGTGTCCTTCAGTCAATCTGCCTGTTCTGCTCCCCACTCTGTCTCTGGTGAATCCTCTCACCACTCCCCCGCCCCCGCCCCCGCCCCGCATCTCTGGCCTGTGCCCCAGCTCTCGTATGCATACACAAGAAATCTTTAAAAAAAAGAGCAGCTATCACCCAAATACATTATGAGAAAAATGAAGGCTCTTGGCCCCACATATCATGTTTCTCTTTGCAAATCATGGTGCAACAAGGTGTGGCCCAGACTCTGACATCCCGGAGTCTCTTCCGTGGTGTGGTGGTTAGGGGTTGGGGTCCGGCCAAGCTGCAGAGACTGGGGGTGGTGCACGCCCCTGTCATCAACAGTGATGGCTGAGGCCGAGGGGGCGGGGCCGCGCCTGCGCAGAGCCCGGAAGCGGAGCCCCGGCGCCTCAGGCGGAAGCGCGTGGCCCCAGAGACTACATTTCCCACAAGCCCGTGCGCGGCCAGGGTGCCGTCCGGAGGCGCGTCCTGAGGGTGGCGTTGAGGGGCCTTGGGGAAGTGGGCGAGGCCCTGAAGACTCGGGGCGCAGGAACTGCTGCAGGGCCGCGATGGGAAGGCAGGAACGCGTGGTGTCGCCATGGACTTGGGCTCCTCACACTCCCCCTCCTCTGGGGCTCGGGCGCTGCCTCCTGGCGAGGGCGAGAAGGGGCAACTCCTCGGCGGCCGCGGCGGGGCAGCTCCACGGAGGGCGCCCCGGGGTCCGCGCTCGGCCGTCCCGGTCGCCGGTGAAGGGCGGGCTGGGTCGCTCCCGGGGGGGCTGCGCCTCCGCCCCCAGTCCACCCGCCCCCGCCGCGCTCGCCCCGAGTCCGCTGGAGGCCGCCAGGCCCGAGTCCCCGTCCCCTCGGAATGTTTCTTGAAAGGCCTGAGCGGGCGCGGCCGGCAGCGTCTCCTGAGGATCGCGACATGGAATTGCGGGCGCCGCTGTCCCGGCAGGCGCCTCCGACAAACAGCCCCGTTTCAGGAGTAATCGCCGCTGGGCCGAAAAATAAGCAAGTGCCGCCCAGGCCAGTAACACCACGAAATGCGTCCCTGGGCACACACACAGCCTGCCTCCCCATGCGCACGGTGTAAACACCCGCACTTCTTTTCCAACCGTTCTGTCATTCCTGACCGACGTCTCAATGTCTTCACATGTCGGATTCAATATGTATCAGCAACATGACAATGTGCGTGTGTGCGCGTGTAGGCCACGAGAAGGTCCCTAACAAGCTCAATCCCTGGCCAAGGAGGTGACCCAGCACACCTCTCCTGTCTTGCCCACTGCTCCCTTCAGCAGTGTATTTCAGTCGGTCTGCCCGTTCTGTTCCCCACTCTGTCTCTGGTGAATCCTCTCAGCACCCCCACGCCTCTGGCCTGTACCCCAGTTCTTGTGTGCATAAATAAATAACGCTTAAAAAAAAAAGATAGGACTAATGAGGAGCATTTCAACTGCACCATCATGAACATGGGTGCAGAGTCCTGAATAAACGATGCACACTGAATAGAAAAGGACCTTTAACAACTTTACCGCATGAACAACTGGGAGAACGTGCTGGAATTAAAAGGGAGACCCAATACATGAAAAACTCTCAATGCAAGACTCCAGAGTAGCAGAATCGAGGGTGAAAACCGCATGATCATAGCCACCCACGTAGACAAAGAATGAGACAACAGTTAACACTCTTTCATGACACAGTCACTCGGCCCAATAGAACTGGACACACTAGCCAGGACTGCAATCCCTAATATTAAGCTGTCGACATTATGCAGAGTTATCTAAAGGATCGGAATAATCCCCATCAAAATTCCAGTGACATATTTGAAGGAAGAGAGACCCCACCCCCAAAATTCATGTGGAAAGGAATAAAAAGTGATTGTGTGGGGACGCCTAGGGACGTAGACTCACAGGAGCAAGGGCCGAAGGATTACAAGTTCCACTTGCAAAATCCACGGTGGCCACGTCACCCCTTTTGGATATAAAGGGGAAACTGAGCAGTACCTTCTTCCAGATTTAATGTGATGCGTTATGCACACCTCCCGGGAAATGAACCCCAAGCCCTCGTCAGGAGATCAGGGTAAAACCATGGCCAGATGAAATATTCAACATTCTTTAATAATAAAAGCGATGATCAGCATGCTTTACATGTTATCCAGAAGAAAAAAATATATATAAAATATACTTTCCATTAAACTATTAGCTGTTTTTCCCAACATTCAGTTTATCTTATTTATTAAATAAATTTTATTCCCAAAGATTTCATTTTGTTTTATGCTTGTCAGGCAGAATTTTATGTTCATTTTTATTATATTCCTATGCATAATGTGAAAGTTCCTGCCAGAACTCAAAGGTAATTCATATGAGGGGGAAGCAGAGCAAGGAGTCAGATATTCTTAATTATTTAAAAAAAACACAAGAAACTCTTAGTGTCACCCTGTAAACGCTGTGAATGTTAACAACAAGGATTATGTCGCTATCCATAACTCCAAGGACAGAGACTGAAATTCAGCCTGGCCCACACACCCTACATCATCTGTTGCCATCCTCCTTCCATTAAATAAATAGAAAAATATACCCAGCTCATGGGTTGGAGGAATCAACGCTGTCAAAATGGCCAAAGCAATTTACCCAAAGCAATTTAGACATTCGATGCAATCCCAATAAATATCCCAATGGCGTTCTTCAAAGAAAAAGAATAAAGATTACTGAAGTGATAAGAAAACACAAAAGACCTCAAAGAGCCAAAGCTTTCCTGATATCAAAGGGGGGAAATGAAGGTATCTCACTCCTGATTTCCAATTATACTGTAAAGCCAGAGTAGTTAAAGCAGCATGGTAATGGAACAAAACAGACACATAGACTAATGGAACAGAATAGTCATTTATCTTGAACAACCAAACAATCATCTTCTTAATATCAAAGCTAGCAAAAAAAAAAAAACTTATGTGACTGACAACTAACATCTCTATATTTACCACTGTGAACGATTAACTAAGGGCTCGGGGAATCAAAGGACGGAAGTTATGGGGGGGGGGAAACAAAGGGATTATTTCTAACTAACCTATAAACTTAAGACTAACATGTAACCATAGGATCAAAGCAAAAACAGAAGGCTTTCATATAGAAATCATCATCTAATAATATATTGTTTTAATAAACTATTGATTCAAGATTAAGGAACCACGGGCCTGGAGGACATCAATGCCGGGCAAGCCACACTGACTTTTCCCTAAACCCAAGCTCTCAATTAAGGGAGGAATTCTCCTAATTTAACAAGAGTTTTTCCACCTATTACTCCCATACTTATCTCGTCAGCCTAGTTTCCATATCTCACTTTAAGATCAAGGGAAAACTCCTTTCTCTGTAAGATTGCTGACTGTTGCTTCAAAGAACTACAAATATTTTATGGGAGGCAGGGCCGGAGATGATTATAGCCTTTGGTTCCCAGAACAGCTAATATGTGACATATCACTTGTTGTAACATTGATTATTTCCAAATGCACTCTTTGTGCTACCATGGTTATCAGCTCAGTCAGTCACAACATTGTTGTTGGCTTATTCTTGAACGCATACTTTAACAATTGCCATGACAATGGTCACATCCAGGGGAATCAGCCATAAACAAACGGGTAGGATCCAGCAGGAGCCAGCTATGGAGCCTCCTGACTTTTCTGGAATTTCCCCCATACCCGGACCTTGTCAGACGGCATGAGCAGCAGGGCCAGCGTCAGCCAGGAAGGAGGTAACACAAGTTTGACACACTACAACGGTTAAGAGGCAAAGTGGATTATCCACAAACTGCCCAGTTCCCAGGTGAATGAGTCACTGTGGCTGATGCAGCCCCTGAGGTAGGAATCTTCTTGGCACCCGGTGTCATAGAGAAAGATCTCCAGAGCTCAGGAAAGGGCGCTTCCCGTGTCTCCGATGACCCCCCATGAAGAACTCTGCACACCCCGTTGGTGACAGGGCCCGGCTGCACCCGCTGTGCTTCTCGGGTGGGCCCTTCAGTGACGCAGAGAGGGCCCTGCTCGCACTGCACCGAGTCGGCTGATAACGCATGTTAGAAAACCAGAGACGAGCACCCAGGGTGCGGAGGCCGCGTGGCTCCTGGTCACTCGCGGCTCAGGAGAGCCTGGATTCTACTCCAGGGAGAGTCTCAAGGCGCCTCCTGAGGCAGCTTCCAGGTGTGAAAGCCCCTTCCAGGCTCTGAACGGCCACATCGGCTGCGCGGCGGGCAAGTAACGCCTCGGCCCCAGACGTGGACCCGGCCCAGCAGGGGCAGCGCCCCAGACCCCGCGAGGAAGGCGGAGCCCCGGCCCTCGCTGCCCGCTGGGCACAGCTGCACCCGGGACACTGGACGCGGCTCGGCCTCCGCCTGCTGGACCCGGGGCGGGCGGGGGGGGCCCCGGGAGAGTGGAAAAGCCGTTCCCCGAACTGCACTGAGACCCGTGGGGTGGAAACGCGCAGCCCGCGGGGTGGGGGGGAGGCCCAGGACCCGCCGGGGCGCCCTCGCAGGCCGCAGTCGGGGAGCAAACGCCTCGGGAAGCGGCGGGGCCAGCGCAGGAGGGACCCGGACCCCTGCGTCCTGCAGGCCCCAAAAGGCTCCCCAAAGCCCCAGTTCTCCACATCCAGCCCGTGCGCCGGGGCCGCCCCGAGCCCTCGCGCTTCCCTCCCCGGCCTCACCTGTCCGCTCCCCGCCGCCGGCTGCCCAGGACAAGCGCAGAGGCGCCCCCGCGGGGATCCTGAAGGACCAGGGTCATCCCAGCGGGAACCTCACCCCGAGTTGG